TTGTAGTCTATCCAGCTCATTCTCATTGAGAAGCAATAGTCTCTCTATCCTCATTGGAAGTGGAAGTCTCTCTCTGGCTTCTTTTGATAACTCCCTCTCATGGACTTCATGTTTCATATTTAAGTCTTCTTCCCACAGCTTTGTTTGAGAGGTAAGTTAAGCCTAGTAAAAAGCCCTCAAAAATCTCATCCCCATGCTAGCCCTTCTAAACAGACATGTATTGAGATTTTTTAAAAGTACCAGAAACTATCTTCATAAAAACAAAACATGGTATACACGACATTGAGACCACAAAAATTCTAGCGAAAATTAAATAGTAAAATATCTGCTTATGTAATCTGGAATGTAGAATTTAAAATTTTGAAAACTTGAAGAAACATCAAAGACTTAATGGGATCCAGTTATCTGTATTCAAACAGACTGCTTCTCTCTTCCTATCATAACTTATCCCAGGAAGGACTTAAGGCAGCGTAAGGTTTTCTTATTCTCATTTTACAGATGAGGGCTCTGAGATCCAGAGAGACAGAGTGATCACACCAAGTCTCACAGTGTGCAGAGTGGAGGGGGACCCAGGCTCCAATTTCCTGATGCTGCACCCATTCTAAGACTTGTTCATTTCAACTGCAAGGCCCAAAGAACTAATCATAGGTGCCAAGAATAGAAATCCTGGCATGACCTCATAAGGTTTCCCATTTGGAAAACTTTACAGCATAAAAAAGAAAGAATGTTAAGAACCAAATGTAAACATCATTGAGTTACCATCCAGTGTTGTGTGCTCTCCCTAGTAGTAGGGAGATAATGGCATGGGCAGTATCTGTCTTGTTTCACTACTATGTGTCAGACTATGATATCGGGCTTGGCACACTGGGCAAAAGAACATCACAGATTGAGTAAGTGAAAAAATAAAAACAAAAAGCTGGGTAATATCCCAAAAGACATCCTAAACTCACAGCACCTTGATACCTTGATAATGAAAAAGCCTAACCTCTCCTAGATCCAGACCCTAGCTGGAAAGCAACAGACTGACTACTTTAGAGAGATTTTGCATAATATTTTTAAGAGGTATTATTATCTGAATAGCTTTTGGTCAATCCAGTCAGGAACTCAAAATGAAAAAAGGCAACAGTTTGTGGGAATGTAATCATTCCCCCAATGCAAACTTGGTTATAAACCAAAAGTGATATTTTTTTGAACTACATCATTTCAACTACAAGGTTCAAAGAAATAATCACATGTGCCATAATATCCAAGAGTGATATTTTTTAAACTTTTTATTTGAAAAGAGTTTCAAAATTACAGAATAGTTCAAGGGACAGTCACATATTCTTTACCCAGGTTCAACTATTGTTCACATTTTGCTCCATTTCCTTTGTAATTTGCTATCTTTCTATCCAGCCATCAATCTACTCATCCACATAATATTTTTTTCTGAACCACTGAGAAGATATTATGTATATTAAGATATAAGGCCCTTTACCCCTAGATACTTCAGTTTTTATTTCCCAAGAGTAAGACTATTTCCTTACATACCACAGTACAGTTATAACAAATAAATTTAACAATGATCTAACACTTTTTTACTATCCATATTCCAATTTTGTAAATTGATCTAATAATGCATTTACAGCATTTTATCCCCTCCCATATAGGATCCAGTCTAGGATCAATTATTGCATTTAGTTGTTACGACTCTTTAGTATTGTTTAACCTGGAAAATTTCCGCAGCCTTTGTCTTTTATGATATTGACATTTTTTTTCTTTCTTCATAGAATGTTCCTCATGTTAGATTGGTGTGGTGTTTCCTTGTGATTAGATTCAGGTTATGCACTTCCAGATGGAATACTACAAAAGTGATGTTGTGTCTTTGTCAGGTTATCACATCCAGAGGTCCATGATGTGCATCTGTCCCTCACTGGTGACATTAATTATAATGGTCAAGTTGTTGCCTGGTTTCTCCATTATATACTGACAATTTTTCCCTGCAACTAATAGGAAATCTGTGGGGAGACACTTTAAGACCATAAAATAGCCTGCTCCTCCTCAAAGGTGAATTTTTCTAACAGTATTTCCACTATTGTTATAAAAAGTGATCTCCACATAGTAAAAGAAACCTAAGTTTCACTTATTATACTTGAATAAGTATAACATCTGTTTTTATTACAGTAGTCCATGCACATTGGGTGTTTACTAAAAACTGTTCATTAACTGCTATCTGGCTAGGATATGGGCAAGCTGATTTTTAAACTCAACTGGTATCAATGCCCTAATATTAGTTCAATAAAAAGAAATCTATTTAACTTATGCTACAGAAGGGTTTAGAAATTAAATTATATAATTGCAAGAATGTTCTATTAAAAAAAAGAAAGAAACTTGTAAAAGAATCTACTTTTATTTACTCAAATTATATAGATTCTGGTTACAATGACATTGATTATTATTCAGCCTTTTCTAAGTAGTATGATTTTGAGATAAATTTTAATTCAAGTGCTTAACTTGGATTAAACATAGCTAACTTATATAAAATGTTCAAATGGCCAGGTGGTTTTAGTTTCTGAGTTTGGTAACAAGCAGAAAGAAGGAAATTTTTGGAAAGCAAGGCAAATTTAAAAAAAAAAAAAGCAACCTTTTTAGGAATAGTTTTTAAATTTAAAAGAAAAGTTACCTTTCTTTTTTAGTTTCTAAAGATGCCTCCTTTCTCATTTTGTTACCATGGGTCTCAACATACGTGAGAACATGTTTTTTCACAAACTAGTCATCAAGCTGAACAGGTATGCCACTAATTCAACCATTCTTTTATAGAAGTCAGGAAACCAGGGTAGACCAAAGGCTTACTCTCTTAAAAAGAGCACAAAAGTTTCTCTAGCCCCTTTCTCTTTTGAGCCCAGCTTCTCATCTATAACTTGTCTTATTTCCAATACAATAAAATTCTAGCCCTTTAAAACAGAAGAGACGGTTTTTTTGATCAATAGAATTCAGCAGCCAAACCATTAATGTTTTGTGTTTTGTGGGTTTCTCTTTTTTTTGAAAAGCATTTGCAGCCACAGGCTCAAAGGAGGAAGAAAGGGAGGGGGATTAACTCTCTGCAACGAAGGTCAAAAACATAATTTACAAGTGAGGCAAGAGGAGCAGCTGTATCTGTTGGCCCAATCAAGACCACCAGCTGGAGAATTTACCAGCAATATGAAAACCACGTCCACCAGATGTCAAGCAATGCAACTGGAGGCCAAACATCTTTGGGCTCAATAAAGGACTCTCCACTCTCTTTACCACTCATATTTCACGTTAAATAGTAAGGTGTCTTCCACAGGCCACCAGCAGGGATAACAAGAACATTTCTGCACAAGGGACATAATAACATGACTGTACCGTACCACACTGGCTGCAGTACTGAAGTCCCCCTCACACATGTCCTTCTGTTAAAAAGTAATTTTAGCTCAGAGTCAACACGTAAGGAGTGAGAGAAAATTAAATGGCTACGAGGCATTCCGTGCAAGGATTCTTATGGCTTATTGGGCTTATTTAATATTTGGGAACTGTTTTGTCATCAGAAGAAAAGAATGTTCTGAAAATACTTATTTGAATAACCATTTTTCCACTCATTCTTTAATGTGCTGTTCAATACAGTAGCCAATAGTCACATGTGGCTATTTAAATTTAAACTAAATAAAATTTAAAATTTTGTTCCTTGGTCATATTAGCCACATTTCAAGTGCTCAATAGCCACATGTGGCTAGTGGCTATACTATTGGACAACAAACCATAAATATAAATATAAGCCATGCCCATCATTACAGAAAATACTATTAGACAGTGCTGCTCTAAACCCATAAACCACGTTTAAAATGAGCAATTATAATTCCCTTCTCTGTGTACTAGGAAACAAAGCAATCTTTATGCATTCTCTTATTGAATAAGTCTACTAATACAATCCAAATATTTTATTAGGTGAGGTGAGACAAAGGGGAGGGGGAGCTCAGTAATATTTTCACAAACGTGAGCCAATCCTTGTCTGAGAAAATGCTTTTGTATGCTGTACTCATAGAAGCCCTGTGACGCTACTGGCTTGCTGGATAATATACAGTGGTCAGTCCAGAGGGGTTATAGGACAAATAAGCAATAAACTCTTCTTTCTTACATGTATCCTTAATTTGTTAATGATTCAATCTTTATCAGACAGTTTATATCAGAAGTTTCCTTACTTATATTTCCAAATGTGCAAAATAAGTCATGTCCTTTAAAACAGAGGTGGCCCAACTTCACAGCTTTCCAACTGAGGTACTTTAACGCCAAGTAAACATCATATGCCACAGATGTTTCTAAAAATTTTATGAACAAGAACATGAGGCCAATACAAAATAAAATCCACAAATTATGTTTCTTACTGCTAGGCTTACTCATTGTGAGTCCTGAGAAGCCAAAAAACTCGAGGTGCTATGCCGACGTCTGCGTGATTGCTGTGACTCACTGAGGTACAGACAGGTGGCACATAGGGCACAGACCTTTGATTCTGCCATGAGGACACCATGCCAAGGTATGCCAGAACACACCAGAGAGCGAGCTAGGTCACAGTTGCAAGCACATCAGCCACCTCTGGCCTCATTCGTGCAGGACGCTGTCCAGGCCCTCGTCTTTCTTTGCCTCCATATCCTTTATCTATTCCAATATTCCTTGCAAAATCACCCAGCCCTGTCAGCTCAGCAGCTTCACTCCCATTTTCTCTTCCCAATCTCCAGTTTCCTCTTTTCTAGTTAATCACAATGGATAAAGACCAACAAGATAAAAAAAGTTTTTTCCTGATCTCCCCTGCTCCATCATCAAAAGCAAAAAAGATCCGCCATTTTTCTTTGGGATCGTTAACTGTTCTTAATCAGATTCTCATACAGATCACAGAGCTAATGCCCAAGAGAAGCTGAAAAACTTCCATCATATCAGCTTAGCTGCTTAGAGGTTCATGCAATGGCTGCAAGGTTTTCAGGTTATGCCCCACTTTTCCCGCTTACCTTGGCTTTCCCATCCTGGGCTGACATATATCCAACACACATGCTCTCTGTCGTGTGGCTCCACAGAAATTCCACTGCCGTGGAAGAGAACACAAATAGGCACATTCAGATCACAGATGGAAAATAAATCTTTGGTTTTTAATAGAACAGTTAAAGATAGCTTTATATTTAACACACTCAGTTCCCTACTTTCCATTTGCTCCTTCATAAATGTCAACATGATTTAGTACTCAAAACTGTGTAATGCCATTTACTGTGAAATGAAAAATGTATTTCTTTCTTGTCAAAAGTTTGATTATTACATGTAAAATAAATGCTCTTCTGTTTGAAACTTGTAACATTAAACACACACACATGCACGCACACACTCATACATACAGTATACAATGATTTAGTAAATGTAATATTCCATAAGGTAGTTTCCTTTAAAACACCCCTCCTCTCCCCCAGGTCTTGGTTTCTAAATACCATTCTCCATGGAAAGGGACCAGGAATCCTTGGAGAAATGTTGATTCCAGGGCTAGGGCAGAGAAAATTCAAAATGAATCTGGAATATCTTGTGTCAGAAAGTAAGGAAGTGTTGCAATAATGATGAAGACTTATCAACTGGCCAAATCTGTGTCACTCTAAGTATCAAAACAAGTAATGATTGTAAAGAATTATTACCACTGAACAAAATAAGAACCTATACTAATGCAAATAAACAAATAATAAATAAATGGAGGAGAAGAGAAAGCTCTTCCTTGCAGCAGAATGCTAACTAATAAATAGAAAAGACAGCTAGAAAACCATCATGGTTGCTAAAACAGTAGATGAAAATTTGGAGAGGAACAGACTATTTTCATAGTCTCAAAGAATCTCTCCACAAAATTCTTATTAAATATAAAGGGGAGAAATGTAAATTCACCGTGGAGAAACCTGATGGACTCCACTTTAATCAAATGATTGAAGCTAACATTACCAATTAAGGGATAAATCGACACTATGTGCCTCCTAATAAAACATTCTGGGATTCACCACCACTTCTGCAGTGTTCTTGCTGAACAGGCAAAACCAGAACTGCACGAGGAAATACCATACAAATCCGATACGGGAACAACTAAACAACTGGCTTGAACTCTTCAAAAATGTCAGTCAAAAAATACAGAGAAAGGAGGGAAACTGTTCCCATTCAAAAGAACAAAGAAGATATGACAACTAAATGCAATGCATCACCCTGGGTTGGATCCTCGACTGGGGGATGTGGGATGTTATAAGGGACATTGTTGAGACAATTGAAGGAATTTGAAAAGGCACTAAGAATAGATAACAGTGCTGTATCAATATTAAATTTTATGATTTTAATAACTGTACTGTGATTATTTAGAAGAATGGCCTTGTTCTTAAGAAATACCCACTGAAGAGTTAGGAGTAAAGATGCTTGATATCTCCATCTTGCTCTCAAATAGTTTAGAAAAAAAATGTACATGTTTGTGTATGTGTGTATGAGGAGGAGTGTACGTGAAGGGAAGAGGGAGGGAAACAGGGAGTGAGGACAGAAACACAAACAAGGGAAAATGAAAACAATGGGTGAATCTAGTAAAGGAATCATGGATGTCCCCTGAATTAGTCTTGCAACTTTTCTGCAAGTTTGAAATTATTTAAATAAAAAGTTACAAAAAGAAAAATTCACAGACATAAAGAGATATATACAAAACTCTGTCACTTTCAAGTACATACTTTCCAAATTCTATGGTTGTTTTTTATTTTTTTTTGAGGAAGATTAGCCCTGAGCTAACATTGCTGCCAATTCTCCTCTTTTTGTTGAGGAAGACTGGCCCTGAGCTAACATCCGTGCCCATCTTATTCTACTTTATATGTGGGATGCCTGCCACAGCATGGCTTGATAAGCAGCGCATAGGTCTGCGACCGGGGCCCAAACCAGTGAACTCCAGGACACCAAAATGGAGTGTGCAAACTTAACCACTGTGCCACTGGGCCAGTCCTAAAATTCTATGATAAAAAAGGCATTTTTTAAAGTTTTGACACACTTTTCCAACAAAAATTTCAAAAGTCCCTGATAATAAAACTGCCTTGCTCAACACTAAACCCTCTGGATCTCAGACCACCCATGTGTTTATATCTTCGACCTAATTAAGCCTGAAGACAAGTGTTTGAGTTGAGACACAACTGTGGGATCAGTGATCTTGGACTCTGAAGGCTTCGCCAGACATGTGGGGAAGAAAGAAGCAATGAGAGGCAAAATTGAGTTCCTCAGATATGTGGCTCATTTCCTCATCATTAACTAATTATCAAACCTGCCAACCTGCTCAACAGACGATCCCCTGAAAAGTGCAGGAAAACAGAGTCACACAGTGAAGCAAGTGCTCTTCACCAGATGTCTTTTCTTCCTCACACATCTGCTTTGAACTTCAAAAATCTTTAAGTCCAGAGCAAGATCTGTGATATTCTAAATTGCCTAACAGAGTAGAGGCACTCAAGTCTTACAGAATTTCCCTAGAGTAACGACAATGCAATTGTATTTAAATACAAACTTAAGACATTTCTAAAATTGTGACTTTTCCTAATGCCCCAAATGTTAAGGTGTCAATTGTTAATGAATTAGCCAACAAAAATACATGGAAATATAGTCAATCTAATCATGAAAGCGAAAGATAAAAACACTGCGCTTTGTTTTTATTTATTTATTTGTTTGGTGAGGAAGATTGTCACTGAGCTAACATCTGTGCCAATCTTCCTCCATTTTGTATGGGGAACACTGCCATGGCATGGCTTCATGAGCAGTGTGTAGGTCCACCCCCAGCATCCAAATCCACGAACCCTGGGCTGCTGAAGTGGAGTGCGCAAACTTAACCACTACGCCCCTGGGCCCGGCCCCACTTTACTTTTTTTAAAGACACAATTTTGATGATTTTAAAATGGTTTATTCTCTCCAAAAATGTAGCATGCTTTAAGGAAATGTAACATATGAAAAATTGAGACTTATAAAACAGGATAAATTGGGTGCACTAATTGACTACATTAAATGCTTTTATATTGAAGAGTTTTCAATAAAGTTTCTAGACATAGAGTTTAGAAGTTCTTAAAGAAAGTAACTCAATGTCTAGAAATTCAGTCTTCACTCTTCACAAACCAAAAAAAGAGGTGTATTACACTGACATATTATTTTTAATACCAACAATTCAAATTAGTATATAGGGATCAGTAGTTCAGGCTAGCCTGAGAAATTCAGTGGAAATTGTTTACAATTTAAATTATAGAATACTTTTGAAAAGAAACCCTATTTTATTTCTTTTAATGCATGTCTTCATTCAAGTTAACACACTATTTCTTGGTGGAGGACTTTGGAAGCAGGAGAGGGAGGAAGTAACACTGAGAATCTATCATGTTCCAGGCACTGTCCTTTGCAGTAAAGCCTGGATGGGGAGCCTGGGACTCAGAGGTGCTAAGTAACACAATTTAGGTCATTTTAGTAAGTGCACAAAGTGGAATTAAAACTGGACTTTTGGATTCTAAAACCTGTTATCTTCCACTCTTCTATTACTCTGAAGTTATTTAGATTTTTCAGGATTTCTAATTAGCGTTATACATTAAGCGGATTAAATTCCTTACAAACACCAAAGGACCACAAAACATCAAACACAAACACAACTCTTAAATATCTCTTCAGGAAAGCTTTTAAAATTATAACAAGACCCAGAGGCCATAAAAGACAAGATAATACATTTGACTCTATTAGAAAATGTTTGTAGTATTTTCTTTTGCCAGGTGGGGAAAAGCGTCAAGAAATGAATGAAAAATTCGGGAAAATATTTGCAATTCATAGAACAGAAAAAGAACTAATTTTCTTAATATATAAAGATCAGCTACAAATCACTAAGAAAAAGACAAATACTCAAGAGAAAGCATAAAGGGTATGAACAAAAGGGAATATGAATGGCTCTAAAAGATAAAAAGATGTTCTACATTTCTCATACAAAAAGAAATGCAAATTAAAACCACAAGATACCATTATCCAACTATCAGGTTACCAGATATCAAAAGCTCTGAAACAACATTATGTTAGCTGAAGGTAGAGAAAAAACATTCTCATATAATGATGGTGGGAATATGGCCATTTGGAAATACATTCTTGCAATCCGTGGTAGTTATGTTCTATAAGGTCACCATGAAGACTGAAATAGCAAATACTGAGCCACTGCTCTTACAGGAAATACAGGGCAGGAAATACACAGTCTCTGGTCACATTTTTGATCAATAAGTAACCATATTCTATGTGTGTTTCTGGTTAAAGACATCTTATTTATTTCCTATACATAATTATATGCAGTATTTCATTATAATAAAACACTAGCCAAGAAGACATTAACATTTTCCTAACCCTGGATAACCTGCCCGTGAATGCCTTTGGCTTTCAGCCTCACACCAATGCTGTCCCCTAAGCTCTTTTCATTGGTCATCATCTCATGAACCTCCAACTTTAGCGACTTTTCCAGCTTTTTCCATAGCTTCATTATGCATCATGGATGTTACTTTAGCAGTCCCTCAAGTGGGCTCATATACAGATTGGTGTATTTCCTCTTCCTTTTTCTGGATGAACAGTATTATTGATTCATTGACTTTGAACTCATGGCCAACAGCACTATAACTCTTGCCTGAATGAAGCTTATCCATCACGCATGTTTTCTCCACAAGACATCACAACCTCCTTTGCACTTAGGAACAGCAGACAGCACTTCAGCACTATCCTTAGGGGCCATTTTAAACAGTGAAATCAACAAAAAACACAAAAATATGAAAAATGTGGCACTAAATAGAACAGAAAAAGGATACTTTTTTATAGTATGAGAGCTGAGACACGAAGACAGAGCATCGCCTTGTTCACCTCAGCTGGGAATGGGCATGTCAGACGACTCAAATTTATAACCACTCCGTGCATGCCCACAAACGACTGTGAAAGTGCTGCGAGTACTGATTTTGAGATTACAAATAAATTGCAGCAAGTAGAAAAATTAACAAATACAGAATCTGCAAATAATGAGGACTGACTGTATTTATCAAAATGACATATCCT